AATAAGTTCAAGAAGTGGTTTCCATCAAGAGTAAGATTGACAGAAGAAGCAGTTTTCATGTGATTACCTTGTAAACTGTGGTATGCAGCAGATGAAATTATATTTAGCTATTTATGGGAATTTTAGCTAGGAAATAGGGGTATTACTCTTTCACTCGGCAATATATGGTTATGCTTGCTATATAAATAATATGACTATCTTGTGCTCCATTAAATCTACCTATGCTTCCCACGTTGTTTGGAAAAAGGCTGTAGGTGATACTTTGGTATTGTAATAATTTTGTATAATGCTCATTTACAGTATTTAAAGAAATGAATAAATATCAGTGCTGCTATGGATGGCATCAGTGCGCAGCTGAGGGAGTGCAGTCACTGGAGGAAGCAGTTGTATCACAATTAAGTTTTAGAAAACCTCTTTATAAAGGAACGTTATAAAAGAACTGTATGAAGCGTGATGAAGGTTGAGGAAGTTGGGCATTTCTGAGAACAGAAGATTTTTCACTATGCATTGTGGAATCCCCCTTCAAATTTAGTTTTTTGGCTTTATCCCACTTCATGGTGGATCACTGATTGAAGTTTGGTTTAGACTGTTTTTGTGTTTTTACAGCCTGAAGTAGACATTTTAAAATGGTTGCATGAAAATGGTGAGTAAAGCTTTATTTCTTTTTGTCTCCTTCAGGCTTCTGGATGCCTATGATGAACATCAAGCACTTCTCAAGGAGCAGGATTCTTTAAAAAGGAGAGCAGAGAATGGGTAAGAAGTATGTTCACCTGGGGGTATATACTAACCTGATAGATGATGCAGTATGGGGTAGCTGGAGCACATACTACGCTGAACTATAGCCGCTACAAAGCACTCTGGAAATGCTTTAAAAACAGTTCAGAGAATAATCTCAGGGGCTGTGGTTTTGTGGTGGTTTTTTTTTTAATTAATCTATTAATATATATACACATATATTTTTCAGCTTTAAACCTATTGCTTGCAAGAACAAAACCACTGTTTTTTAATCACTTCAAGTATAAACTAAATAAGGCTATAATGTTGGCTACAATTTTTGGAAACAGATCCACTGGAAAATAACCGCTTGAATTATGTATCATAGAAAAAAACAGTACTGGTAAAAATAACTCTGTCACTGAGCAGAAACATGATTTGCTGTCTCAGTTTGAGTACCACAACAATTTAGAAACCAGACTATTGTTCTGAGGCACAATATGCTACTGTCTTTCTCTAAATCAAATTCTGTTGCCCTGTTTGGACATGGCACTGAGTTTGAAAATATTACTTACCCTTATCCGTTACAACATTTCTCACACAAAGACATGCTCAGAATTTGATCTAAGATACCGTTTACCAGCAAACATTAACTTCACAGGTCAGAGGAGCCAGATGAAAAGAAAATGCTCACAGACGACCCAACTTTGGCATCAGCACAGATGATGGATGGAGACATGCAAGTCAATCAGGCAGCATATAACTACAACGCCTGGTATCAGGTAGGTGTGTGCTTTTGTTCCTTTGTTTAACGTGCACATTCTGAATAGATGCAGGTTGTGGTTTTCCCAGTGACTGTATCTATGGCCCAGTGTCAGTTGGTGAGGAAAGCTTGGACTAGAAATTTAGCTCCTGTTTTCTTGATTCCTCTTTGGCCTCCACACATGGAAGTGTAAAATATTTTCCTCTGTGGAGCGAGATGAGCAGTTTGGTGGCTAGCCCTTCACGAGAAGGGAAGTGTAGCAGCAGCTGAGGGCATTGCTGGCTAAGGGCAATAGACCTGTGCCGAAGTGTTTTGCCCAGGAGAGTCGCCTTGGGATGCCAATTTACTGTCCGTTTTGATAGTTTCTCTGTCCAACTAGTAGTTCTTACAAGGTCTCTGTATGGATTCTACTGTGCTAGTACACAGTGCATGCGAAATCAGTCTGTTCGGTAGCTTGTCTTTGGGGGCTATTCTTGTATGGCATTTAATTTTGTCCCCTAGAGTAGCTTAAAGAGTGAATTGGTGATACCCTACCTCAGTTTCCTCTTCTTGCTTGTGGCAGCAGCAACGTCCAGAACATGTTCTGTTTGCTTCTAGACTGATGTCCATTTTGTGTTCTGACTTGCCCAAGGGGCAGGCTGTAAAGTCAGAGCTTCAACACCTGCCTGTACGTAGGTGTACTGGTAAAGGTGGGTACTGCTGGTGCCCCCTCAGCTGGGCAGAGAGTGAGGCACTGCACGCTTGGGATGCTTATTCTTATGAGTTGTAGAGGGTCCAGCTGAAATTCTTGCTGAAGCAGTTTAATGAAAACTGTTGTTAGACTGCAAGGAGCTACCAAGCCCATGAGAACAGTGTTTGCACATGGGACACAAACTGGCTGCTGTGTAACTGGTTTAGAATTGTCCGCATCAAGGTCAAGTGTTCTTTCGAAAGTCAGGCGGTGAAAGGTGTCTCACCCAGCATGGGGAAACTGCGCAGTACTGGGCCGGGAAAAATGCCCCAAGTTATCAAACGCAGCACTGTGGGAATAGCAGGCTTACGGTGCTGGTGAAGATCTCAGTCCTGTGGTTGAAATGGTAACTCCATCACTGTCTGCCTTCTGTGTGTCTCACAACCTGCTTGAGAACAGCAGACAGAAGCGCTTCCTGAGGGAATGGAGACATTTCTTCACTCTACCCCAACAACATTATGCAGCTGCATACCTGCCTCGGCTCAGCTGTGGTAGTTGGGGTACAGTGGGTTGCAGTAAGGCCACAGGAACTGTCTGACAGCCTCCGCTAGCTACAAACCAATGGCTTTGAAGGGAGTAGTGTTAGGGCACTTCAGCTCGCTGCCCTGGCTCTCCGTCTTGCGGAGTGTGCCGTAACAGTGGACATGGAGCTAGTGTACAGACAGTTTGTGCTTACATTACCTCCTGCTCCCTCCCTTCTTCCTCTGAGATTCTCTTGAAAGGGAGGTAACGAGGAGCCGTAGAGCAAGTACCAAAGAGGGGATCTGAGGAGCCAGAGTGAGCCTCTGGCCTGTCCTGTATGAGAAGACTTATCAGGTGCATGTTTGAGCAGCTAGGAGCACTACAGGCAACAGCACCAGCCCCTGCGCTGACCCTGGCTCCAGATCTGAGCCTGGGCTTGCCCTGAAGCACCCTTGTGCTTTGCCTCGGCAGGAAAGCTGACTGCCAGCGGACCCGGAGGTGGTTCGGAGTTCGTGGGCCTTGCACTGCAGGGGAGCACCTCACTTGTTCCGGCCCATGTACCAGCTGGGGGTATGGCTGGGTGCAAAGCCTGGCTGAGGAGGTTCTGAGCCCTTGGTGTTGTGGCTGTGGCACGGGCACAAAGCCATGCTGGCTGCTCTGTTCAGGACTGTCACAGTCACAAAAGGGTGGCCTTCCCTGTGACTCTCCGGGACGATCAATAGGCAGCCTGTTATCAGGTATGCTTCGTGGAGCATGGGCAGTTTGACTTAGTTACCGTGTTGTTTTTTTTTTCTCCTAGTACAATTACCAGAACGCCTGGAATTATGGACAGTATTATCACCCAACTTGATCTTAGGAGTGAGCGAAGTTCACACTGCTGCAGTTTCAACAAAGACGGAATTAAAAAAATATATTTTTCTAAATTAGGGATGTGAAAGAACTGTTGTAATACCTGCTTTTTGGTCTTTTGCATGTGAAGTGAGCTGATGTTCACAAGGTATGTGTGAAGCAAGATTTGTGTGCTGGTAACTGATAAATGGTATCTCTGTACAATTCTAGTTTACCATAAATGCTTTTTTTTTTTTTAATTCCCTGCACTAATTTATGGAGATATCTGAAGAACTTTTTTCAGTCTCATAATGATTCTATAGACTTAATGAGTAAAGCTGTAGTTTTTCTGGGTTTTTCTCTCCCAAAGCCGTTCCGCTGACCAGTGTCAGTGACCACAGCTGCTGTGGGAGACAAGCGGGGCGGGAGTGCTGCCAGTTCCGGAGCAAGGCCAGCCTCTCCTGCTCTGCTTTCCAGCCAAAGCCCCACAGCCTGCTTCTATCAGAAGATCTCTTCGCGTGCCCCAGCGAGCAAAGCCCAGGCTGCTTGGTTTATGTTGTTACAATTGAAGTTCTTCAGATTACGACGGCAGCCTTTGCAAGCTGCGATATGCATTTTCTATTCTGTGTGGGGGTCAAAAATGAAAATGCAGTGCAAAATGACGTTGCATTCTTTTATAAAAAGCACAAACTGTGTTTGGGATGATTTTTGTATTTGGAGTTTTTCATGTACACAGTGTGAGCAGACTTTTTTCATTTTGATCAAAGTGATCATTCCCATTTTTGTAATAAAAGCAAGGAATTCAGTAGTCCTCTGAGCTTTCTTGGATTCCCTCATTCAAGGCAGGAGTAAGAAAACCCGAATCTCAGTTCACCCATTTTGTTGAAACAAACTCCTGTGGCTGTGGTACAGGAACACATTGGGAACGTTCCTGGCATGTACGGTTCTCGGCTAGCTGGGGGTGGGCATGTTGCCTGACACGAATATAAAATGCCTTTGAAGGAGAACTTCAGTGGAATTTTTTTTCTCTAATTTAAGGAATGCCTAGACTATAAATGTAATTTTTTTCCTCTTCTAATATTTTAGGTTAACTGAAAGTGTTGTAAAACTCGGCAGCTACACAGACTTGAGCTAGTTATTGAATGTTTTTCAGTAAAAGAGCACTCAGCCCTGGAAAGGGTAATGAAGTCATGGCAGTTGCAGATGGGTCTGCTTCTCCCTTAGCACTGTGCTGGAGTCCACTGCCCTTTTCACCCATAGTAAGAGAGAGAAGTTTTAAGGTGATCATATAGACAAAAAAAAAGTGAAGTCACTTGCATGTATAAACTATGTTTTCTTTAGTGGTATGTTACTGTACAGCAGTAGGGGGCAGGGAAAACAAACTTGATTTCAATACAAGGCCACGGTTGTAACTATATCCTGAAGTTACAAAAGCAAAACTGCAGTTGGCAGAAGCTTTCTTGATCATAAATGGATTCCCAGCAGCAACAGAAACTCTTCATTTCACTCGATATCCACCAATTCCACTTCAAAGAAAAGTTTTGCATTTGGTGGAATCCTGTTTGCATAAGTTAAGGAAGCTTTAAAAACCACCAAACAAAAGCCCAATCCCTGGAAACAATCCCTGCATAGTAAACAGAGCCCTCAGCATTAGGGGATTTGCCACCTGCTGTCCTGCTTCTCCTCTGTCAGTTTTGTATTTCACTGACCCGTTTTAACATCTCAGATTTAGCACAGGACCACAGCTGCTGTCCACATGGGTTGGCACAAGGTACTGGGTACCAGCTCTGCAGCTACACCTGTATTAAGCCGTACTTCTTATTCCCATCCTGCTGATGAACTGCTTAAGCATCGTCTCCATTTTTGGGACACAGTCACTAGTCTTCCTCTGGGAGGACATTAGACTGTCCTACTATACCAGAAGGAAGGAGGATTTCCAGACAGTCCTTTAAAGTCATCATGACACAGGATTTGAGCAGGAGAGAACAATCATGTCCCTTCCTCTGGAAGCACTGGTACATGACCACACAAGATGTTCTGGAGGATCACTCCCTCCAGCCCGTATTTCAGTTGTATCCCAGAACCAGTTCTAGCCAAGATTTAACTCTGTCTCTACAGTTAGAGCCGGTAGCCTTCCTCCCACCTCCCTGCTGCACTGGTTAGCATCCCCATCAGTGTTGCAGGAATAAGCAGCTGGAGTAAAAAAGCAGGCAGAAAACAGCAAGTTCTCTGCAGTACTCCCTCCAGGAGCTTTTCTTCAGAACAAACGGGCAATTGCATCCAGCCATTAAGTTCACTGAATTTCTTTATATTCATGAACCTTCTAAGCCTGCTATGAGTAACAAGTGAATGCTCCCCTCCATTACACCCCTGTCCACAAAGCACTTTATTCCACCCAGCATTTCCAAGTTACTTAATGAGTTACTGATTGGGGAAGGATACTTAGCATCTGGTTGCCCTTTCTTGCCATATGCCCACTCGGGTTCAATTTCCAGTTGAGCCTTCTCTCCTTTACTCATTGTTAGGAGAGCTTCATCCCACTAAAAGAAAAGAACAAACAAAACCAAACATAAAAAAACAAAGCAAACTCAAAGAACAGAACAGCATGTCAGTCTGGCAGAGCTTGACCAGAAGTGCATGTCACGTGCTCTTCCAATTTTCTCCGATGAATACCTGCGTGGTACTGCACCGTTCTCTCCAGCGTGCTCACCCACCCCGGAGCGCAGCCCTGCGGTAGCTTCACCTTTTTATTTGTGGAAACGCTCCCCCGTGGCTGATGCTCCCTGCTCCCACACTAGCCTGTACTGCACTTCGCAGTTCAGGTTCGTGCTTCTCTGTTGGGCAGACATTAGCAAGCCAATGAAGCATTGAAGTATCCACAGTTCCGGAATGCGTTTCATGGCAGACCACCACACCACCACCATGCTGTAGTGGGTACCAAGGGGCTGGCCTCCCTCGACCTCGTGTTTCCCCACCACTCTGCAGTATCAATGGATTGGCATTTGTTTTAGGCTGACGCTTAAAGACTAGTTTTGTTTCAGTGCTTGTCCCTCTCCAAGACTGGCTCGTGCTGCCCAAAGCTGGCATTCGGTTTAGCACCATATCAACATTTCACAGCGAACAGCTGCTGCTCATGCCTTGTAGCTGCACAAGGAACAGATCTGGCACCCACCCAAATGCAGCAGCGCTATGCCAAGAGACTACAGAAAAACCCAGGCAACCACTGCTTCTGCGGTACTGGCCACAAGCCCAGGGACATTTTCCCCTTCTCTGCTGCAATCCTGTCACCCATAAAGGCCTTTTTCCTGCATAGCAGCAGCATGGAAGATGATGCTGGGTTGGGTTTGTTATGTTTTTAATGTCAGGTAAGCGTAAGATCCTTCTTGCATTCCCATCTTGTGCAGACAGCCACCAATTTCACCACTGGCTCAGCAGCAGCGAGAGAACAGTTAAGCACCTTGTTTGCTTTGCACATTTGTACTCCCAGACACACCAAGTCCACACCACTGCCTGTGATGCCACGATGTAAGCGAGCAGATGGGTGTGCAGAACACTCGAGTGTTCTACTGAGTGCTTTTAGCCTACCTAGATATTCCCTCAGTGCTGGACACAGCCGAGGAGTTACAGCAGCAGAACTGCAACTCATTTTAGTGCATGACAGCAACTAGGACTTGGAGTTTCAGCATCCAGTTCAGAGCTAACATGAGCTGAGGTGCACATGAAGAGGCACCAGGAAAAATACCGAAAAGACGCTGAGAGAAAACAATCTTCTGACAGACTAAAGCACACCAAATGCACAGTGTGACCGATGGAGCCCTGGGAACCCCATAACCTTGTCTGCTGTACAAAGCACGAGGCAGAAGCATGCAGATGGCTGTGCTTGTCCCGAGGGACACGTAGTTGTTACGCTGTGCTCCACGCACTACTTCATGAGAGCAATGACACTGCAGATTGATAAATGCATCTGCAAAGAATAAATATGACATTCTGTGGGTGTAAACACTTTCAACTTGCCTTTTTATGTCCACAAGAAACAAGAACAGCAGCTCAAAGTTTGCACCCCAGTCATAAATCCTGAAACTTTTTGGATTGAGGGAGTCGTTAATGGTTTACTTACACCTCGAATTACTTTTCCTACGCCAACTTTGAAACTTAAAGGTTTGGCTGCTTTTTTCTTCTTTGAACCTGAAAGACAGTTATATGTTCATTTGCTTTAACATCACACCAGCACATATCATACTTCTATCTAAAATTACTATTATGATCATGCTTTATATAAATATCTGTTCTTATAATATTATTTTTAGCCCACTGTTAGATTTTTAGGGGAAAATTTAGTGCTGTGAACTAAAAACATTATTAAATGTTCAAGTTGCACTAAGAGCTAAAGTTGATGAGCGTCTTTCAAATACTGATCCAGTGAACATAAGAGACTCATTCTGAATTGCTAAGTTGATGGTACAAGTCATAAACACATTACTGAAACAAAAAACTTCGATAGGGAACGTACATATAAGTACAATGAATCACAGGTAGCGCTCCAGTGACAGCCCTGCTGTTCCTCTCAGTGTTGGACACCACTGCTGGAAGACCGTTTCTAGCCT